GAAGAATCAAGGCAAAAAAAACTCAACTGCGAAATTCCGCTTGCAATGGAGAAACAAGGATGTCACGGTATTACATTCAAAGTTGAAACGGGTGTCTTTGAAGAAATTGTGTGTCGTGCTCATAGTATTAGATCTGCAGAGAAATGTTTGGATTACCCACAACAACAGAAAACCAAAAAATAACAATTTTCGGTTGACGACGTTCCGACCCTCTTGGAAGGCCTTTTTCAAATCAATTAACAAGCGAAGATTAAACAAAAATCGTGAGAGAAACTGTATCAATTGGAGATGCTTTTGATTGGTCTAGGGGGAGGAACAATTGAGTTGGTGTGTGAGAGAGGTAATAAATGAAATCCTGGAAGTTGTGAACGAAGCAAGAAGTCAAAGAGCTAATGATGACGCCATAGAAGATGGGAGATTAGTGTGTGAGCAGTTTTGTGGTGTGGTTAGATTAAATCTTGTTTGTTAGTGAGGAAGAGTGTGTGTATGTATGTTGGTTGTGCAACTGGTACTAAGCCAGTGAACCGATAATTGTGTCCCGTCCAATCGACTGACGCAAAGTGGATCGCTGTTGATGAACAATTACTCAGTAATTAAACGTTTCCTAATTGACCTGAAACCTTGTTTCAGAATAATCGGCTTTTCAAAGTCAATAGAGTGTCCATCAGAAATGGAATGTAGAGCAATAACTTAGTGTTTGGATGTAGCTGAAAAATAGCTACGATGTAGCACCGGAGAAAAATTAGCTCATTACTGATACAACTGCTACGTGATGTGATTCATAAATGTAAGTGTTAGAGACCGCTAAAGAACAGATAACGAACTATTCGGTCTTCCCTACTATTAAGCATGAGCTTTCGTGGGGCGGTTTTAGTTGCCCATTCGGATAAAACATTAGAGGGAAGATTGGAAAGCAGTGTTGAAGGGAAAATAGAGAATTATCGAAGACTAGCGTTGCAAAGGGATTGTGCAGATGCACCAGTGCCGCGGTTTGTGACAGTGAGTCATATTACTCAGTTTCTCTAACCATCGATCACGCTGATCGGCAACCATCTATCAATCTGACGCCAAAAGAATCACAAAACAATGTTACACCACCAGGGATTATCTTTTATTTTGTTTGTAACAGTAACTTATTTTCGGGGAAGAAAATCAGTTTGATAAGTGAGTGAGATGAGTGTGTTTGAAATGAACACAGGTTGAAGTTCGTGCACGTCCAAAAATCGCAGGGTAGAGAAGAGAAAGTCTTCAAAAAAGTCAGGCTTATTGCATAACACATTCAACCTATGCACACAATTTATTTCCGTTTCTATTACCATAAATGTGGTCGCAATTTCCATCATTAGTGTTCGGTCAACGAGGCAATACAAGCGTGCCCCCTGAGACATGTGACCGGCGGCTTTCAACATCGTATGAGTCATTAGGGCCCACAAATATGCAATATGATCATAGAAAGTTTAGCCAAACAAGGTAATCAACCTTTCCAACATCCCTGATCTTGGAAACTACTGTGTTTCAAAAACATGTATTCATCCACTGAGTAAAACAGTACCATATGTAGTGCTTTTGGAGATTCGGATTGGTAATCAAGTATCAATTCATCGTGCAGTGACGTCGTGTCTTCCGGAGGGTAAAAAGGGCATCCTAATAAGTAGTACACCACAAGTCATCCGCTTAAGTTTCAATAATCTTTCAAACAAAATGTGACTTGATAGAAATTATTGGGTGTCGACAAGCGAACACAGTAGGTGTTGGTAACTGGCTCGATCGTGCTTCGTTGTAGAGTTGAGTGGCGGGAACTGACCACATGCATTTTGCTCGAGCAGCATTTTATTACAAAAACTTGAACGACAATACGCTTGAACATGTCAAACAATCGAAATTATTATCATATTATTGATACACATTAGTTCAATGTTTGAAAAAATTTCCCCGCGATATGAAACATTCACATACAAAATCACCACCGGATGAGACAGTTATATCTTGATTACGAATATCCAGATTGCCACTGCCGGGTCTGACCAACCATTGGTGTTCAACCGGGACAATATAAAGGGCATTGATAGCCGCCAGAAGACCAACAGCTTGTCGTTGCAGACCGTAGAGCAGCCGTGCACCGCCAGCACGAAACCCGCCAGCGGACAATTGGCCCGGCATAGAACAGTTGGTTTCTTCCGCCAGGCGATAGGCATACTCAAACATGGTCATTGCTGCGGCCCGATAGTTGGCACGTCGAATGTGAAATGCGAAAAGTACTTCGTAGTAGGGATTTGGAACAGACTGAGCGGTTAGTGCCATGTCGTGGGGCATTGTGGATGGTAGCACATCGGTTGCACGAGCTCGAGCCTCTAGAATGAGCAGAAACTGAAGAAGGTGGAAAGCGGCGAGTGAAAACAGTGGTCAGCTGTCACCGGGAAAACAAGCAGTCCTGTTCAACATTAAAGATGTTAAATTATATCAATGATGATATCACTTCATTCATCATCGATAAACAGTATGATGAGAAGTGATCAACGCTGATATCACATATTCTTTTAGCGTCCTAAGTGTTGTAATTCAAAACCCAAGTAGACCAATTCAGACGGCGAACTGAAGAATACGTGGTGTGATAAACGTGAACAAACTGGAGATGAGACACATGTGAACCAGCTGCACATAAACATTTGACCACATCTATACCCGCGACTGTTTTGTTTGTTAGTAAAAAAGTTTTAACAACCAAAGAACAACAAACCCAAGTTGGCGAGGTCAGTTACAAATGTTGATCATCATCATCGTTCGCGAAAACAGTGAAGCGAAATTCGCTAATCGCTGATAAGCCCACAATGCACACAAAATTAATTGTAATAGGTAAGGGGGACAAGGAATGGGCTTATTATGAGGGAGGGAAGAAAGTGAACCTCTGTGGTCAACATATCTTTTTATTACACACCTTAGTGTGGTGAACAGTAGACGGAAAATGCCCCATGGTCGGGAGAACCGGCCGTCCAGCGATAGAAACCAAGAACCCAAGTCCCGGAATTAGACGGGCGAACCACAAAAGGCCCTGCTAGACTAGGTGTG